TAAAAATAAATATCTGATCATTTTAAGCCAGACAAAATATATTATTTTTGTTGTTTTTCTAAGAGACTTGATTTTTTTCAATCAAACTTTTAAGTTAGTTACAAGAGAATGGTTGAGTAATAATGCAGGCAACAATATATGACTTTATTTATTTATTTATTTATTTATTTATTTATTTATTTATTTATTGTGTGTGTGTGTGTGTGTGTGTGTGTGTATGTAGGGGTGCATCCAGTTTTTTCTTCATGCTTTACTTTGAAACTGCAATGAAAATTGAAAATAAGTTCTGCTCTGTATGTCTCAACTCAAATGAGAGTTTTATCAAATAGTTCAGGATGAGAGGAGCAGGAATTCAAAGATCTACACTAATAAAAGAAATAGGCAAATTGACCATCCCTCTGCAATGCCCACCAGCCAACCAGGAGTGGGTATGCAAATTAACCTGACAAAGATGGTGGTTTAATTTGCATACACAGGCACCCAACAGCCTAGGTCCCAGGAACATCCTCTGGACCCAGGCCACTCTGAGCCTGTAGGCCTGCGCATAGGGCCTAAGCTGCTGGAGTCTCAGAATGCCCCCAGCCACTCCTGACCTATATAGCCTTGGAGCTGAGCAGCAGGGAGCAGGGTGGCAGAAGCTTGAGCAGAGCTGGAGTGGAGCCCAGGGGGCTCTACTCCTGCCCAAATAGCAGCACAGGCTTGATTGGAGCTGGGGGACTCTGCCCAAGCCACAGGGGAAACTTAAGCAGGGCCTGAGCAGAGCCAGGGGGCCATACCCAAGCCGCAGCAGATGCTTGAACAGGGCTGGAACAGAGCTGAGGGCTACTGAGGAAACATCTTTTCTGTCTGTTCATTGCTAAGCTCCATGTATACCACCACTTGCAGTGTTTTTTGTAACTTGGGTAATAAGAATTTATAAAGGTGATCAAGGGTATTTCCACTACACTTCTGAAGAAAAAAAATGAAGATCTGCTGCTGGAGGGCTAAGAAATATCATATGCTGCCCTAGCAGGTTTGGCTCAGTGGATAATGCCTTGGTCTGCAGACCACAGGGTCCAGGTTCGATTCTGATCAAGGATATGTACCTAGGTTGCAGGCTTCTCCCTGGCTGAAGCCCAGGTCAGGACTCATGCAGGAGGCAATCAATCAAAGTGTCCCTCTCACATTGATGTTTCTCTGTCTTTCCCTTTTTCTTCCACATTCTCTAAAAGTCAATGGAAACATATCCTCAGGTGAGGATAAAGAAAAAAATGTCATAGCCATGAAAGACACATCTTGAAAACACCTAAAGAAAGTTGTTACTTTTTCACGGTGAAGGGACTGGAGTCCATTTTGATAAAAATTCCTTGGTGGCTGTGGTGGCTGGCAGTGGCTGTAGCAGTAAGATAAATGGGGCTGGTGCCTTCCCCTGATCAGCCCCATCACCTCCGACAGAGGGAGACCAGGTTGTGGGTTAGGTGATTCTGTTGGAAGCTGAATTTTGAGAATCAATGCCATAGGCATGTTTCATGTTTCATTCAGCTTGCAACAGAATCACCTGGAGGGCTTGCTAAAATATAGATTGCTGAGCCCAACCCCAGAGTTCCTTTTTTGCAAAAAATGTATTTTATTTTATTACTAAGAGTGCCTCAGCCCAACCTGCCCCCTCTCACAGACTGGGAGCCCTCAGGGATGTCCTACTGATGGCTTAGCTCCCCATGGAGAGATCAACCAAAGGACTTGTGTTGCATGCATATAAGCCATGTGGTCACCGACAACATGGGGGTGGGGGCATCCATTGGGAGGTGTTTGCAATGGGAATGGGGGAATGCGGACAAATATGTGATACCTTAATCAATAAAGAAATTAAAAAAAAAAAAGACCTTGCATCCAGCACCACCCCCCTTTGACTAAGGACATATCACTATCACTTTTTGATTTGGAACAACTGATAAGGTTTATATTGATAACCATGAACCTCAACTGGCTTTTCAAATGATCCAGCCATCTTTCTCTGATGAACTTACCTGCCCATGCTCTGCCATGATTATTTTATACCTTCTTAAAAAGAGAAAACTTAGAGTTTGCAAGTTGTATACTACATAAATCCAAAGGGTGTCATTGCTCTTACCTCTCGCAACTCCACTAAAGCTTCTCCCATTAGCCACTGGTGACCTCTGTGTTGCTGATCCAATGGTCTCTTCTCATTCCTCAGAAGAATCTTGTACCAATACAAATAATTCCTTCTTCATGGAATTCTTTCTTCTCTCACTTTTTAAGATTCTTTTTTAGCTTCTCCTTTTTTCATACTAAGTATTGGAATTCTTCATGGCCTTTTCTTGAGTCCTATTTTTCTCTGACTCTCCATTTTACACTGAATAAAGACTGGGAAGTAAAGGAGGTATAGTGTTCTCATTATTGAAGCACCATTTGTTGAAAATACATTCTTTCCCCATTGCATGATCTTGGCAATCTTATGAAAATCAATGGCCATAGATGTGTCAGTTTATTCTGGATTTTTAAGTTTATTGCATTGATTTGTATATGTATCTTTATACTTCTGCCACACTACATTGTTTTTCTTTTTCAATATTGTTTTAACTATTTGAGGCCCTTTGCAATGCCATATGAATTTTAAGATCAGCTTTTCCATTTTTTCAAAAGAGGTCAATGATCTTTCTTGATAATTTTTTTAATAAAGTAAGAATTGTATATTTTCTTAACATAATAAAAGTCAATAGCATATTCATTGTAAAAACATTAGAAATAACCTCATTAAGTTCAATAACTAAATAAAAATGTCTACTATGATTGTAATTATGTAATGATGTTCAGGAAGTATTATTCAATACATTTACAAAAGAGTAATTAAAAATATGAAAATTAGAAAGAAGAGGTAAAATTAACTCTATTTGTAGCTAATGTGACTGCAGACATGAAAAACCCAGGAGAAACAATTGAAAAACTATCAGGCACAATAGGAACACTAAGTTGGCAGCATACAAAATTATTATACAGAAATCAATAGCTTTCCCATATACTGTATAATCAAACTTTAGAATATATAATAAAAGAGCTCGTTTATAACAGCAGCAGCAGGACTAAAATATCTAAAAATAAGTATGATTAAGAAATGTGACCAAACACTTTGGGGAAAAAAGGAGAAAGTTCTAGATCATACCAGTTTGATGTGCTGAATAATGGCCCACCAAAGACATCCACATCCTTATTCCTGGAACGTGTGGCTATGTTACCTTACATGGGAAAAGAAGGTTTGTATGCCTGACTAGGGTTCTTGAGATGGGGAGTTCATTCCGGATGATCTGGATGGGCCCACTGTAATGACAAGGGTCCTTATAAAAAGGAGACAGAAAGATTACGGTGGGAAAGAGAAGCTATGACAATGGGAGCAGAGGTTGGAGTGTGTGCTTTAAATATGGAGGAAGGGGCCACAGCTAATCAATGAAGGTAGCCTCCGGAAACTAAGTAGGTAAGGGAGCATATTCTCTCTTTAGATTCCCTGGAGGGAGGGAACTCTGCCTCCATCTGGATATCAGACCAGTGAAACCCATTTTAGATTTTGGACCTCTGGAACTGTATGAGAATTAACACCTATTATTTTACTAGAGTCCCAGTGCATGAAATTCATGCACTCTGTGGGAAGGGGCCCCTCAGCCTGGCCAGAACTCTCTTGCAGTCCAGGACCCCTAGAAGGATGTATGACTACCAGCTTAGGCCTGCTTCCAGTTGGACCTCCTTAGCACTGTGCTTGCAAGCCTTGAGCTGGCTTCTGGCTGAGTGGCAATCCCCCTCTGTGGAGTGTCTGCCCTCTCGTGGTCAGAGTGTGTCATAGTGACCAGTGTTTCCACTGTTGAGTTGATTTGCATGTTAGCCTTTTACTATATTGTGATAGTTTGTTACAGCAGCAATAGGAAACCAGTAGTCTCAATGACAAAAATGACATGATCTAGGGAAAGATATTTTACAGTCCTGTGGTAAGTGCTTGAGCTAATCTCAAGCACTTGTCAAATTGATGCCATTATAATTAACTAGTTATTAATAACAGCCAAGAAGCAAAGGGAAGGCCTTTTTGATCATAGGCATGTCATTTTGGCAGCTTGGCTAAGAAGTTGAAGCTTTACACTCCCCAGGGGTTTGACGGAGGGGAGATAGACAAATGCTTGCCCAGTAAAGTTGAGGGAACTAGCAAAGGTACTTGTCTGTCAGTCACAGCTGGGGGCAGAGGTCATTGGCCAGAATGGGTACGCCTTACCTCCAACACTTAGTGGGAAAGAGTTACCCCAACTTTCCCAATAACAAAACTGACAAAGTTGATCTGAAAATGAACCTCAACCCCTAGATATACCCTCCACTTTAAGAGGTAGATGCTATCATCGCCATACTATATATATGAAAATTGAGACAATAAGATATTATCTGAGAACACAAAGCTATCCTGGAACATAGTTGCCATTTGAATTCAGGCAGTCTGGCGTCTGGCTCCATGCTCATAACCACTGCCCACATGTACATTATAACTTGATTTCTATATACAGGTTACAATTGGCCCACATCCTAAGGACAGTCCTCTTATCTTGTTAATAGATCTTTTTTATGGGAAAGGTGTTATGCATGTGTTTATGTTTTGAAATATACAGTGTTATTAGTTTTTTGTTTTGTTTTATTCAGTAAAAGAATTAAATGCCTTTGCAGGGAAAAGCCAATACCACTTTTAGCATGCATCTTGCTGTTTGTGGATGTCTGTTCTGATACAATTTTCAATTCCAAGATTGTTTTAAGTTACAATTTTCAATTAGATGATGGGAATGTTATCTCTAAGGAGTGGATTATGTTCACAAAGTGGAAATAACCAAGAACACAGAGATAATGTTGCTAAATAAATGGTTCAAAACCCATTGAGTTGTAACCATTGCTTTCATCGTATGAGGGAAAATTGTATATGAGTTTAAATTTGGCTTTTTTAGAAATGTCAGATCAAATTGTTTTTTATTTCTTTTTAGGATTTCATCAGGGGTCTTTCCATTTTGCTCCGAGGGACAGTACAAGAAAAACTCAACTGGGCATTTAATTTGTATGACATAAACAAAGATGGCTACATCACTAAAGAAGTAAGTAATACCTCATCAACAGCTATCCTTTGGGATATTTTCATTTTTAACTTCAAAATGTTAATTGCACATTTGCAACTTTTAATTTGAAAATGGCCCTTTCAGGAAATGTAAAATATTTCATGTAGTAGTAGACAAACATTCTAATAGAAAATCTGGAATGGATAGGAATAGTAGATGGTGAATTTGCAAAGTAGATTTAAAACGTGTAAGAATTATTCACTTGTTTCCTAATGGCATTTCAATAAACACTATGAATGAAATATAGACTTTGGTTGGAATCAGATAGGAAGATAATGTATCTAAATCATGTTAGAATATTTGGCCTGTGACCTCTCTCCCACGCGGCCTCCCAATCCCCCACCTCCCATATAATGTGGTCCACATGGAAACAGATGTAATTTCAAGTCACATAGAGGTGTGTGTGATGAGCTGGATGACCTTTATGGTGTGGGAAGTGACCTCATGGAATGGTGGGACCTCCCAAATCCTTCAGGCCAGCAGACCAAATAAGATATTCAAGTCAAATGGTTCGAATTTAAAAATAATTTAAAGCACAAGGAGAAGCAAGGGAAAGGGGATGGTAAGTTAACTAAGTTATGCTAAGGTGCAGGTAAGGTGGGAGGATCACATTACCTGAGTCCTGGGTCTGTTCAATCTTCTTATGTCCTGTCTTTTTCTCTGGCTCATTGGCTTTTCCCCAGTGGTGAGATTTGAGCAAGAAGCTCCTCAAATAAAAGGTATCCTTTGGTCAGTGACATGAACTTGCTCTACCAGAGACAAAGGGGCAAGTGCACCTAACCACACTTACAGCAACAAAATTAGCCTGGCCAATGGCCATAGTTTTTATTTATGTTTCTTGAGCAGAGAATTCATGGAACCAGAATATTTCCCATCAATGGGTGGCTGAATTAAGAACTCACAAATATTAATCTTTTGTGTATACTGAGCATATCCTGGATAGTTAGTGCCTCTTGTATATTTGGTATCCAATAAGCATTTAGTACTCAGATGCCTCAGGAATATTAGATATCTCTTGGTCCTCCAATCCCTTACTATTCCTGTCTTTGTTTAACACAAACATGCTGTTCTTGCTCCTTATACGTGACATATCTCATGAATTCTGTCTATGGCAAACAAACTCCTTACTACTGCTCTAAACTCAGAACACCTTTGAAAGTTACACCTATGATTTATAAACTACAGACTATTATTTATAATAGAATGGAATACTTTTGAAAGTAAATGTTATATCAACCTAGTCAAGATCCTTTTATGTGAAAAATTCGATATGAAGGAAACAAACATTAAACATAAACCTGAATGTCTAGATAGATATTATTTTCACTAAGATTGAAAATAAGTTGAAAACTAATTTTTAATAAAATCATTAAAAAATAATATTTTAAGATGCATCCCGGAGTCATAATATTTTGACTAATTTACATGTGTTATTTCCTCAGTTAAAACGGTAGTGGAAGGAAAAGAAAAAAACAACAACAATGGAAGTCCTAATGAGTATTGATTTTTTTTAGTATAATTCTTGTGATGTAAAGTTATATTTTATTCTCAATTAACACATTGATAATAAATATGTAAGATCTATAATTACTCAATAAAACAAAGGCAGTCTGTGTGAAGTCTACAGAGACCCAAACACTAACCCAGAGTTTTGCTGATCATGTTCGATATTTTGGAATTTACTTCCTGTTGAAACCAAGGTCAGAAATAATTCTTACATTCTCATTCTGCTGCTTCGAAAGCACAAAGCTGTTGCCTTTTCCTTACAACTGAAAGGCATTTAATGAAGAATCGGAAATTTGACATTGAGTAGAAATACCCTGTTAGACTTTCTGTGTGGTTTTCTGGCATATTGCTTGCAGCTTCACGAGTGTGCCTTTGGCATTTCAGGAGATGCTGGATATCATGAAGGCAATATATGACATGATGGGTAAATGCACATATCCTGTCCTCAAAGAAGATGCTCCCAGACAACACGTGGAGACATTTTTCCAGGTAGGGATGCATATGGAAGCCAGAGGGAAACAGAAATTTAGAAAACATTTACTGTTTTCAAAGTGTCATGATGATTCAAAAGAATGTAAAGTAAAAGAGCATTTACTGACAGGGATAAAATGATAGGATATTTATCATCCTAACAATTTAATAATTTTGGTTTTTAATAAGTATAATACTGATAACTATAGAATATTCATAATATCCTACATAGAATACTAATTTATTGCCATGTTTCACATGTAGTTGCTTTTTAGTTTAGTTCTCATGAGAACCCTTTAAAGTTACAAATCCTTATTAGCCCCCCCAAAATTTCAGCAAATCGCGAGAGCTCTGGCAGGGTTGGAAGGCAGGGTTTCATCTAGGTCAGTGACTAGGTCTTCACCACATTCTGTTGACAAAGAAAAGTCTAGAAGAAGTCAGCCAGATGATTCCTATGGGTTGGAAATTACTCGTTGGTTCTGAGGCAGTTCCTCCCAATAAACAAACAGTGGGTTTTGTTTTGTGGTTTTTGATTTTTTTAAATATATATTTTATTGATTTCAGAAAGGAAGGGAGAATGAGAGAGAAAAACATCAATAATGAGAGAGAATCATTGACCAGCTGCCTCCTGCATGCCTCCTACTGGGGATAAAGCCCCACAACCCAGGCATGTGTCCTTGACCAGAATTGAACCTGGGACCCTTCAGTTCATAGGCCAACTCTTTGAGCCAAACCAGGTAGGGCTTATTTTTGTTGTTGTTTATCAACTTCAGCTCATTTGGTGAAGGTTTGAGAGTATCGTGGGGAAATCTGAGTAAAGTGTTTTATTCTTTTCTTCCTGAACAGAAAATGGACAAAAATAAAGATGGAGTTGTTACTATAGATGAGTTCATCGAAAGTTGCCAAAAAGTAAGTAATGGTAGTAAAAGTACCATCCATTTTTGCTTTTGTAACAGTTAGACTGAGTATTGCCAACTAGCCACCATGAAGTGAAAAAAATATAAAGATCACAGGCCTAAGTTTATAGCTTTACAGCTGAGGTAAGCCCACGCCCTAAATAATCACCAGTTTCTACGTTGAAATGATAGTCATTTGTGGAGTGCTCATAGCTGTGTAGGTAAGCCCTGGAGATGTGAAAGTCGCACATAGACTGAGTTTTGTTCCCTAAATACTTTAGAGAGTATTCATCATTGAGAATAAAACACACGAGAGATTTACATTGCTCTTTGCCTAGACTTAGCTTATAGCATGTATATTGTCAATCATATTTCCACAGCTTTAGAATTTCAGGACAGCTAAGAATTCAGTACAAGCCAGTCTTATAGCCAGTTTCACAGATAAACATCATTGTGCTAATATGTGTGGGAAAGAAATAGCTTTGGGTTGAAGCAGTAATGGTCTTCAGTCACACACACACACACAAAAAAAGCCGTAAATTCAGAGGGAAAATCAGGCTGCTGGCTCACCTGGCCGGAGGCCAGTTTCATCTTACCTAGCATTCTCTGGCCCCGTGTGTGGCTAGAACAATTCACAATTTAAAAAAAATAAATATAGACAAAGCAGTCTGTAGTGCTTTAGCTTTTCTATTTATGAATTGATATACTTTCCCTTTCCTGGTACCTGCTTGTTTCTAAACTCATATTTAAGCTGGTGGGCTTTAGGAGAATCAACCTGCTAGTGCTGCTGTTGTGGTCCGGCTTCAAGGGGTGCAAATCAGCATTCGTTCAGCTAGCATTTACCCTTCAAGAACTAGCTCACTGGCCATGATTCACATGCAGTCTCCGAGTGGCCTGTGATACCCGAAGTCTAACTCTTACGTTTCTAAGGAATACGCTACACCAAACACAGCCTCGGGGCAATGGTTTTTCCTAAACAATTCTTTCTCTGGTGCTGAGAGACCATTAAAAAAAAAAAAAAAGAAAAAAAAAAAAAGAATAGTTGATTTTTTACTTTTTTAAAAATAAATCTTTATTGTTCAGATTACTGATGTTGCTCTTTTCCCCCTTCATAGCTCCCCTCCACCCAATGCCCTCCACCATGCCATGCCCTTACCCCTCGCCACTGTCCTTATCCATAGGTATAAGATTTTTGTCCAATCTTTTCCCATAACCCTCACACCCTCTTTCCCCCATGAACTGTCAGCCCACTCCCTTTCTATGCTCCTGATTCTATTATATTCACCAGTTTATTCTGTTCATCAGATTTTTTATTCATTTGATTTTTAGATTCTCTTGTTGATAGATATGTAGTTGTTTTTCATAATTTTTATCTTTACCTTTTTCTTCTTCTTCCTCTTCTTAAAGAATACCCTTTAGCATTTCATATAATACTGGTTTGGTGGTGATGAACTCCCTTAGCTTTGCTTCTCTGTGAAGCTCTTTATCTGACCTTCAATTCTAAATGATAGCTTTGCTGGGTAATCTTGGTTGTAGGTTCTTGCTGTTCATCACTTTGGATATTTCTTGCCACTCCTTTCTGGCCTGCAAAGTTTCTGTTGAGAAATCAGCTGACTGTTTTTCTCTTGCTGCTTTCAAGATTCTCTCTTTAACTTTTGCCCTTGGCATTTTAATTATGATGTGTCTTGGTGTGGTCCTCTTTGGATTTCTCTTGTTTGGGGTTCTCTGCGCTTCCTGGATTTGTAAGTCTATTTCTTTCACCAGGTAGGGAAAGCTTTCTGTCATTATTTCTTCTAATAGGTTTTCAATATTTTGCTCTCTCTTCTTCTGGCACCCTCATAATTCAGATGTTGGTATGCTTGAAGTTATCCTAGAGGTTCCTTACACTATCTTCATATTTTTGGGTTCTTTTTTCTTTTTGTTTTTTGGTAGGTTGTTTTTTGCTTCCTCATATTTCAAATATTTGATTTGATTCTTGGGGTCCTCTTGTCTACTGTTGAATTTCTGTATATTATTCTTTATTTCGGACACTGTATGTGTAATTTCTGACTGGTCCTTTTCCATTTATTTATGTATGTATGTATGTATGTATGTATGTATGTATGTATGTGTTTATTTAGGCATTCTCATTAAGATCCTTGAAGGTCTCACTAAGTTCCTTGGAGGTTTTTAGAAGATTCTTGAGTAATCTTGTAACTGTGGTTTTGAACTCTATATTCAGTAGTTTGCTTTCCTCCATTTCTTTCATTTGAGATGTTTCTTTGTCTCTGCATTTTGGCTGCTTCCCTGTGTGGTAGGTGACCTATAGGGCCCAGTGGCTCAGCCTCCCTAATCACCTGAGGTGGACACTCTTGGTGCACCCTTTTGTGGGCTGGGTGCACAATCTTGTTGTAGTTAAACCTTGATTGCTAATGGTACACTGGGAGGAATTGACCTCCAGGCAAACTGGCTGTGAGGACCCACTGTATCTATAATGGAAGAACTGCTGTGTAGGAAATACCCTTATGGGGCAGGACTTGCCTCATTGGGTCTTTGGTGCTCACTGAATCTGCCTCTTGAGCGTGTCACTTATTCATGTGAGGAGTTGAAATCTGAGATGGTTTCACACTGACCACTAGGTACACTGGCTCCTGGATCTCCAAGGAGGTGCAAATCAGCTACTGCCTGAGGCCACCCAGCAGGAGCTACAGTGAGATCTGCAGATTTCTCCTCTTTGTTTGGGGTTTGGAAGTTTTGGAGTTGTCTGACCCAGCTGCAGTTTGTTAGGTTAAGCTGCAAAAGGGTAGGCAATTCATATGCAAAAGCCGCTGTGCAGTTTGAGTAGGTTTGTAAATTGGGTGGGTAGGGTGTCAGGGAATCACTAGGGCATAGCAAGCAGCTGTCTATGTGTCTCCGCATCTCCACGTCTTGCACCCCAGTGCAGTAAACAATTATTCCTGCTCACACCTCTGGGTAATCTTGGTTGTAGAAAAGGTCACCATCATTTCTGACCTGAAGCCAGACAGTCCAGCTTCTCCCCGTAGGAGATTGGATCTCCAGAGTCTCTCTGGAAACTGGAGTTCAGAGCAGAAGGGAGCTTGTATCTCCTTCCCGATTGAAAAAAAAAACCAGTGCACCTAGTCACCAGCCTTATTCGTGCACTTCTGTACCTCTGCTATTCTGTGCCTCTGCAGGTCCTACCCAGTTTCTATGTGATTTTTTCTTTTATTCTAATTATAGAACTTCTCCTCAGCCAGCTTTCCTGTGGTTCTGGGTGATAGTTCTCTTATCCTTTAGTTGTAGTTTTGGTGTGGTTGTGAAAGGCAGCATGTACCTTATGCTGCCATTTTGGTTTCTCCAATTGATTGATTTTTTTAGAGAAGAGAGGGGAGAGGGATAGAGAGAAACATCAACAGACTTCCTTTCACATGGCCCCTAACAACTAGGTATGTGCTCTTGATTGGGAATCAAACCAGTAACTGAGCCACAGCAGCCAGGACAAGGCCATTCATTTTTAAAGGCTCATAACAGCCGGGACTGGTTTGGCTCAGTGGATAGAGCGTTGGCCTGCAAACCGAAGGGTCCTGGGTTTGATTCTTGTCAAGGGCATGTACCTTGGTTGTGGGCACATCCCCTGTGGGGGGTGTGCAAGAGGCGGCTGGTCGGTGTTTCTCTCTCATTAACGTTTCTAACTCTCTGTCCCTCTCAATTCCTCTGTGTAAAATCAATAAAATATATATTTTTAAAAATTATATAAAGGCTCATAACAGCCACACAGAAATAGCTCTAACACATCCAGAATCAGGTGTAAACACATCCCAAAGCTCCAACCTTCAGTCCTCACAAAGTTGGCTCTTAACTCACACAAACTGTTTCCTTCTATATGTTCAAGTCTGTGACCCACCTAGGATGTCAAAATTTGCATTTCTTTTCTTTTTTTACTCTGATTCTTCATTCTGGCATCTGATTTGAGAAATATCCTCTATGAACAAGTGTGATTTAATCCTCACCAGAGGATATTTTTTCCATTGATTATTTTAGAGAGTGAGAGAGGGAGAAATAGAGAAAAACAACAACACGAGAGAGACACATTGGTTGGTTGCCTCCCAGGGCCAGAAGCCTGCAACCCAGGTACATGCCCTTGACAAGAATTGAACCCAGGACCTTCAGTCTGCAGGCCAAAAGTCTACACACTGAGCCAAACTGGCAAAGGCAACACCAAGTGTGATTTAAATGAACTATTTAAAGTCTGGTAGACTCAACAAAACCTAACGTGGGCTCTCCAGTTTTCTATATGGGACACAGATGGTTGGAAAATGGCAGTACTTCGAGGGAAAATAGTGTATGCAGCAGGTCCTCAAAAAACATAATGTGGGACAGTGTTATTCATGTTCATTTAATGTTTTGTTATAATGTTGATATGCCAAAGGGACTTGTTTATATCAATTAGCTCATGGTAGAATTGGTTTCCTGTACATCATTTCACTTTGTCACAGGAACTATCAGTGATGCTGAGGGTTTGCTGTACTTGCCTCGGAAATATGCTCAATTTAATCCCGCTGTTTTCTCCCTTACAGGATGAAAACATAATGCGCTCCATGCAGCTCTTTGAAAATGTGATTTAACTTGTCAAATCCATCCTCAGACAAATGTGAATGATCCTACCACACAAGTGGGAGCTGCCACTTTTAGCATAGACTGCTCAGCTTGACACTGAGGCATATTATGCAAACCAGCTTTGTTTTCATATGAAGCAGTCCCCAAAAGATTTGAGTTCTCCACTTTTCAATTTGCCTCCTTTTCATAATGCAAATTTCATGGGATGATCTAAGTCATTTCACACCCTGTGGTTATTCAAAAATAATAGAATCTGGCATATAGGTTTACTGATACTTTAGCCATGGGATCATTGAGGCTTTCACATTATCAGTGACTTTAAAATGTTTTCTGCTGCTCCTTTGTAGGTATTCAAGCCCAGGATTTTAAATGGTTTTCTACAATGTTGGCAACTGCATTTAATTTCCAGAAATTAATTTTTCAGTTTTGTGTGCTGTAATTCCACTGTGTACTTAAGTGAACAAGACTACCACACTTTAAGAAAGCAACAGTCCCAGTTCCTATGAATTTGCTGCCTCCTGTTAAAAGACATTCATCTATCTGGCGGTTTTCTAAATAGTATGAAACAAATTAATTGATCACCAGATGTCCATATATGCCAAATAGCTTATTTAATAAGCATTTCTTAATTTTTCATAAATACATATCAAGACAAGGCCTATATGTTTATAATTTTGGGTTTGCTCAATTTGACAGGTTAACTGTTTATTCTATTGTCACTAAGTGAAAGCCCAAGAAGGTGGGAGAAACAGTGAGGGTGTTTATAGGTACATGCGAAGGGTCACAACATCTGTCCTCCAGTCCTGGTAATGCTCAATGAGGAGCCATTTTAATAGCATTAAAAGCCTATTGCATCTCCTCCCTGGACTCCCTCATGGCACTTTTATGCTACATGCCATCAGGGCAAAGACACCCAACTACTCCAACGCGTGCTAGGAAGAAACGGCAGGCAGAAGTCACTTTGAAAGCACCAGTGATTCCATTATAGCCAGAACTCCGATTCCAAAATTTAGTTGAAAATACATATCAAGTGCTAAGCAACTCATCTGGAAGGTGTTATGATTTAGCTTGTCATACAGATTCTTTTTAACACTCTCAAACCAAAATTGTAAAGTTGCCATAACATGACTAAAGAGACACACACCTTCCCTGTTTTGCAGAAATATCACCAAGACCAAGAGGTTACTGTAGGAGGAAACTTGCAACTGTCTTTGCAACAATAAATCAGGTATCTATTCTGGTGTAGAGATAGGATGTGGAAAGCTGCCCTGCTATCACCAGTGTAGAATTAAGAGTAGTACAATACATGTACACTGAAACTCGCCATCGCGTGTTTGTGTAAACTCAATGTGCACATTTTGTATTTCAAAAAGAAAAAAATAAAGCAAATAAAATGTTTATAACTCTACTGTATCTCATAGGTCTTTATTCCAACAAATTTTATAATTACTAGATTAACAATATTTTTGCTTATGGTATCTTTTAGATTGTAGGTATCTTTAGCTTGGGTGGCGCTGAGTGCAATGAGGGAGAGTTAGAGCGAGACCAGGGCAGGCAGACGTAGCTAATATGACCCGAGGACGTGACAAGTGAGACCTGAGGAAAGAGTGTACCAGGCAGGGACCCAAGAAGCACATAAGATCCGAAGGAAGACGAGCTGGAGACTAAAGTGAGACTGTCAAGAGGTCACCCCAGGTACTGGTTTCCTCTGATGCTTCTGGAATATGCTATCACTGCCCCTATGTAAGAGTGACCCCTCATGTCCCTTGGATTTGGTGTGACGACTCGTTTCTATGGGCTCCCTTCTTGCCCTTGAGGTGGAAGGTCTTATTCTCTTATCTGTTTCTCTTCTCCTCCTTCCTCTTGGATGTAATACAGAGTCAGCTTCTACTGCATCAACACCCAGGACGATGCCTGTAAATTTCAAAAGCCTTTTAAATTTAATGCAACATAAGCAAGCACAACAAAATCACTGACTGCATAGAATGAACATTTTACTTTCTGAATCTCTTCATGTACTGAATTCAGACTATGAAATACAAAAAATAACATTTGCTTAATACAATTGACACCTAGAGTTTATTTTTAACGAGTTGTCATAAACAACATACATATAAGAGAATTTACACATTAAAAAAAGTTAAATTAGAATACTCTGGAAATAACTTTTCCTAAGCATCTACATTATAAAAGACATATTTATAAACAATAATAAATAGTGAATTCACAAATATCCACTATTTTAAATTTCCATAGCCTTGATAAATATTAAATCCAGAAATGGCAAAATATCTAGAAGTAAATATACAGCTGTAAACTGATTGCAAAAGGGCTGTTATAAACAAAAGGCACTAGAAAATAAATACGAACACTTATACCATAAACCCAATAATGGCTGTTGACACAAACCATATAAATATGAAAAATAAACCCCACAAAACTGTACTATTATAGAACCTCTTAAATTCCTTTCCATTATTAACCATCCTTTTTTGCTGTGCAATAACTTACTGTGATTCAGTGGAATTGTGCATATTCATCTGAAACTAGTAAATGATGAATGGTGGCTGTGGTTACAAAAGAATAGCCTGCAGTGAACTGAGTTGGCCCCACAGGTACCCACAGCCAGCGTGTAACACCTGTCACCAGGCAGGAAGATCTGTCGCTCCCTTCTTCAACAACTTATGGAGCAGTATGTTGGAATTTTAGCTTTGATGATGATAAGGCTTCCCTGTCAACAGAAAGAAAGAAAGCCCCGTTAGTATCATGTAGACTTCCCCTAATAATATTACATTTCCAAAAGCATGCCTCCAAAAGTATCCAAAATTCAAACAAAACGGGGTAAGAATAGGATGATGAAATGAGAAGAAGTGAAACTTTTTTGCTGAGTTAAATAAACTGTAGATTATCTTTTACTGTTTTTAAAAAATATGTAACCATAGTAGTTAGCAATCAGACCACCAGCATAAATTCAGTCACTTCCTATCAAATCCGGGGTAGTTGTATCTCTGTGCTGCAGATTCTAGATCTTTTGAGGGGGATAACAGCCAAACCTTCCTCTGAGGGGTGTAATAAGCATTAAATGATTTTAATGTCTAAAAAGTACTCAATAAAATACCCAGCATGTAATATTTCTCCACATATTCAATAAAGATAGGTGTGTGTGTGTGTGTGTGTGTGTGTGTGTGTGTGTGTGTGTGTCTGTGTGAAGTATGTACCTAAGACAAATGTGCATATCAACTAGGAAAAAAAACAAGCTCAGAATGAACCACTCTCCGTTTAAGGTGGGTTATAAATGGATTAGTTATAAGAAAATGACACTGTGACTATCTGTAGCTGTTATTGTTTTTCCCCGAGAAGTTGAGTCTTTCCATTATTGTGATATTTGCAGGTCCTAGAAGTGAGAAACTACCATATTGAGAACATTTTTTTTAAAGACTCATCTCTAAATATTTAAATAAAGAGGAAGGAAAATAAACCTTTATGTTTTAGAAGGGGAAGAAGAGCATCCCTTATTTTCATGAAGAACTACAAAGTATCCAAAGCAAGTACAACAGTCATCAGCCCCGGGAAACACTTTGCTATGTGATCATATGCTATGTAATAATTGATGGAATTGTAAAGAATATTTGCAAATACATCAGTTACTCTTAAAATCTTATGTAAGATATTATGACTTCAAAATCTTTGTTTATTCTGTATTAGCATGATTCAAAACAATGAGTCTGAGCAGCAAAAGAGTTACTCCCTTGCTAGCTATCTGAGACCCTGGATTGATCAACTACACCCCAGGTGTTCCCCCTCCAAATCTTACTGTGCTATTTCTAAACTTTATGCACAAACTATCTCCTCCTCTGCAGGCACATCCTGACTTACTGGATCTTCCCCTTTCTACTTGCCCATTCCCCACACCAGTCCACAGAATGTGTGAAGAACACCTAGGAAGAGTTTCGGATTGAAAAGCTATGTCATCATTAGCAGGCATCTGTTTACTTGCATTTCACTAGAAATTCATGTTCCATTCCGGTTCAGAGCAGCAAACACATATGCAAGCAATACAAATTTCTCTTCTGCTGAGGACAGACACGGGGTTGGCTAGGGGACGGTTTTGTGTATCATCACAAGGTGTCTGAATGCTAATCCTCTGCCTGGGACCCAGAAGTTGACAAAATTGAGTAAAGTAAGTAAAGCTAAACTAAAATATCTGCCATTTTAAACTATATGATCTTACACATTTCTTCATAATTAATTCCTTTTGAACATACCTAGAATGAGACTAAGTTGTGCAATGTTAAGATTATCACATGTAACTCTCTTCACTAAGCTCCAATTAAATGTAAGCTCCAAATCAAGATGGGAACATGGCTTTATGGGAATATTTGCAAGACTAGATTATCTGAACACTTCTTTCAAAAGATGAAAGCTCAACCTAGTTATTTGATAGCACACAGATAATGAAATCCCCTACATTCCCTCACCTTTTTGCCAGTTAAAATAATTAACTGAGTCAGCCCTGTGTGCTGCACACACACGTGCTCACGTTCCAGCAAGCGTGCACTTGCAGACATATCAAAGTCATTTAGAAATCTCATTTCAATCTTTGTTTATGGGCAAATTACAATTTTTTTAGGCAGAAAAGATAGCAAATGAAAGAAAAAGTACTCTTTCTTCAATGAGCTCTCTACATAAATCCTTCAGTTTTATGAACTTTTAAATGGTCAAAGCAAAGACACCCCAAATAAAGAAAACAAGCTGTAAAGCTGCCTCACATGATTGCCACACAGTAAGCACAGCGGAAGTGTACAGGACCTATGTTCACACAACCCGGGCAGAATCCTAGTGCTCAGAAACCTGTGACCCAGGAAGACAAACTCAGGACCCTCACATGGATAGCACTATCAGCTCCACATGGCTACTTGCCAACGAAGAGGTAATGCATTATGCAGTCCAATTTGCAAAATGACTAAAGGTAAGAACACAATCAGGACTGAAGTAAGACTGTCTCACTTACACTTCCACCATGCTGCTCCAGCTTCTGCAATGCATTCGTGATCGGCTCTTTGAACCTCTTGTCCCTTAGTCTCTTGAATAGCTTTAAAAATAAGATTGGGGGAATGAAATGATTTTAAAAAGTAGTAATATTTACCTTAAGCGTAAGTAAAGCTTCACTAAAAAGTTAACTAGAAATAATGTCACTGAATCTTTACTGTATAAATACAAACAGTACAAACACCACTTGTTTTAGGCTTCTTTCAGGAAATATCATTGAAATAGATGCCACTCTATTTGCTGGGGCAATAAATACATTCATTTAATTATTTCTAATAATGCCAATCCTATAAAATATTCTACAATGTGGTACCCAGAGTATGTTTTCTATGACAATGCGTATTTTTCCATTTGGTAACTTGCAAGAGCATTTGGAAAACTATGATGAAAAGCTAAGCCTCTAAACACATGTGCTTCCAACAGTAAAAATAGGAAGAGACAACAAAGAGAGCACCTACATGAGTAACTGTGAAACAGTGAGAGGGTGGTCAGACTAGGAACCACAAGAGCAGGTGTCCCTAGGTGTGTCCAGAATGGGCCTCTGACTGCAGGGGGAAATGACTGGTCTGTCCAGGTGAGAGAGGAGAATCACAGAGCAAAGAGGGAAATCACACAATGCAAACCTGTAACTGTGCTCCCCCCAGTACTCAAAAAGGTGGATAAACTCTGCTTATACATCATAGCTAATCAACATGGCATGATCCCATTACATTGCTCATTAATGTGGGTGCACTGCATCCCTAAATTCTGCTCATGTATAATAGGTGCTTTCCACTGAAAATGTTTAAAGAGTACACTCTGCTTAGTAAAATGTTTTATGCACCACCACAATGACTTTGGTTAGGATGATTTTGGTTTTCTCTTTTTGAGGTTTTGAATCATTTGATGACATTACTTTATGAAGAGATAGAGACAGTGCATGATACACATCCACAGCTGCTCTCGGATCTTTTCAGTACTTACACTGGTAAGCAGATGTTTCAGATGGTCATTTAGAGAAGGACCTACAACAATACTCAACTGCACCAGAGCATTCAATCCCCTTTCAAACACTTCATCATCCGAATGGGCCTGTGAAGGGTTAGTTGGTCAGGAGTATAGGGATAGGAAGGGAAAGAAGAGGAAAAGGAAGGAGATGTCAGGAGAAAGGAGAAGCCGGGGGAGAAAAAAGAGAGTGAATATTCGCATTGGAAGATAATCAACCAAACCCAGAATTTTAAAAATAGCCTTTAATGCAGGACATGTAGAAGCAACACACAAATTTTCAGCTTGACTGAAACATTAAGATCTATCGCAGCCTGCAGAAAGACTGCTTTGAGGTTCATTACTGTCCCTAATTACTCAAAATGCCCCATTTTACTTTTAGTACATCCTCTTAACAGTGTTTGCAAGTAAGTAATCATCTGGCCCTGAAGAACAGTGACCTAATTCTGCATACACTTCAAAATTACAGGTAAAAAGCTAATTTGCATATAATTTGGAAGACATAAAGAATCTTAAATGGCCAGAGAAAGTCTAAAGAATAAAGCACATACCAGAGCCGCCTTCAGCACAGGACTCAGTCTAGGAAGCAAAGGCACAGTTTTTTCAGGAGCATCGCGGACCAAGAGTAATTCTCTAAAACCCTCCTTTGAAACAAAGGTGTATGGATGTTTCGTCTCTCTCAGACCCTGCCAAAAACAAAACAAACAAACAACCCACATGATTATGCTAATAAGAAAAACTGAAGCCTTACTAATGTAAATGAAAATCAAGTTTATTATTATTGTTTTCCTAATCACGATATAGAATTTCAGTAATTGCATTTTTAATTAAACAGATAAATTGTGGAATAAAAGACATATATAAGACAGAAATGATCTTTATCTACAGAAAAGAAGGGAGGGAGAAAGGGGGAAAAAGAAAAACAATAAGAAAAAAAATGAAAGAAAAATAAGGAAAAAAAGAGATGCAAAAAATGTATATAGGGAATTTTAGAAAAGGAAAGAAAGGCAGGGAGAAAAGAGAGAAAAGGGAGAGGGAGGGAAAGGAAATGTAAACAAAAATAAAGAGAAAAGGAAAGAGAAAAACTGGCTAGGATTCTAAAGGCATTTTGTACAAACTCTTAAACACTGCCTGAAAGCACAAAGATTAGTCTACAATGTGTATTTATAAACACAACCCTATAAATGCATAATTAGTGGACCCTTTACTGTGACTTTACAATTTGTTTTCCTGACACAAAGGTTAAATAATATAAAGGAACGTATCTGAAGGTTTTTTTTAGAAAATTATAAAAACATCTCCATGATGTGTTATTTTAGATGTACAAGTAGGCAAAATCCTGGAGAATTCTACAAAATAACATTAAGTACTTAATATGAGTTTCCTAAGAAATACAGTGTTAAATAGGACTGGTTGTACAGAGAGACCAACTATTCATTGTTATATTAAACCAATATTATTAAACCAATGATGTAGTTATTTAAACCAATGATGTTCTCCTAATTTGACTAGTTCAACAAAAATCTTCCTCCATGTTATGATTCTAAGTGTTTTTATACTTGGAGTTAAGTATGAATATTTCAACCACTTACCTACAAATCCCTGTAGACTAATCTCATGTTTATAAATCTGATTAGTTTCTAATAATCATCTGCCAATTATATTTAGTTATTGTTTAGCTCTGATTTCAAAAGTAAAAAATGAGATTTACTGATGAGTTATAAATTTTATTGCAATTATAAGAGATATTCCCCATAAAAACTCAGGAGATGGAAGTATTGATTTACCTCAGCTAAAGTAATAAGAAGAGGATCAAAGGAAAGATTTTCAGGAGGAGAGTCCCACTGTAATCTGTGTTTTACTGAACCATGGACCAACCTAAAATATAAAACCAGTGAATGTAACAAGAACGATATTTATCTACACTAAAATAGAAACATGCAAATTGCCATACCTACACTATGCCCACTAGCCACACCCACCAGTCAATCAGGAGTATGCAAATTAACCTAATAAAGATGGATGCAGCCATGGAAAGATCAGGAGGCTTGGGTTTCCCCAGCAATAGAGGAAGCCAAGCTTTCCGCCCTCCCTGGCCAGCCCTGGCCTCCACTCAAGGCTACAAAGTTTCAATTGTAGAAGATAAATAAATTACAACAAAAATGGAGGCAGCCATGGACAGAGCCATGGAGAGAGCAGGTGGCTTGGGTTGCCCCCAGCTATGGAGAGAGATAAATAAATGCCAGATACCAGGGTCTCTGCTTGGATCACCAGGGGGGCGTGGCTGGCCTGCAAACCACCACAGGCCCCTAGCCCAGGCTGCCCCATGCTCCAAGGGAACCCCCACCCTGATCCAAGACACCTTTCAGGGCAAATCAACCAGCCCCAATTCGTGCACCAGGCCTCTATCCTAACTAAAAAAGAGCAATATGGCCGAGACTGGTTTGGCTCAATGGATAGAGCGTCGGCTTTGGACTGAAGGGTCCCGGTCGATTCCGGTCAAGGGCATGTACCTTGATTGTGGGCATATCCCCAGTAGGGGGTGTGCAAGAGGCAGCTGATCGATGACTCTCTCTCATCGATGTTTCTAACTATCTCTCTCTCTCCCTCCTCTCTGTACAAAATCAATAAAAATATATTTAAACTTCCCTTGGTTGAAATTAAAAAAAAAAAAGTAATATGCAAATTTGCCATCGCTCCAACACACAATATGGCTGCCCCATGAGGTCAAAGATGGCTACTCCATGTGGACACAAGATGGCCATCACAAGATGGCCAACAGGGCAGGGGAGTTGAGAAGAACCAGGCCTGCAAGGGAGAACAGTTGGCAATCAGGCCAACAAGGGAGGGCAGTTGGGAGGGGCCAGGCCTGCAGGGAAGGGTAGTTATGGTGGAGGAACACAGGCCTGAAGGGTAGAGCAGTTGGAGGGACCAGGCATATAGGGGAGGACAGTTAGGGGTGATCAGGCCTGCAGGGGAGGGCAGTTAGGCATCAATCAGGCTGGCAGGAGAGTGGTTAGGGGCAATTAGGAAGGCAGGCAAGCGAACAGTTGGGAGCCAGCAGTCTTGGATTGTGAGAGGGATGTCCGACTGCCCATTTAGGCCAGATCCAGGGGTCCCAGATTAGAGAGGGTGCAGGCTGGGCTGAGGGACACACACACACACACACACACACACACACACACACACACTGCTGAGGGACACACACACACACACACACACACACACACACACACATATATAAATACACCTAATATGCAAATTGCCCCTCCATCGGGAATTCGACCATCGGGGTAGGGCCGGCCGGCCAACCTCCCAAGACCCTTTCCCTCCAACCAGCCCAGTCTAACCCCACCCATGCAAAAATTAAATGCATTGGGCCTCTAGTAGTTATATAATAAGCAGAGATTATTTAAGACATACTCTTTTCGGAATATAACCATATTAGTATTATTTTATAATATATAGGAAACCATGACTTCAAACCTATTATATCTATGGGTAATTCTATTTTGGAACTAAAATTATTTTCTTCAACAATGTCCCAGGATACCAGTCCTTTAGCCCCAAAGTGTAAGTCACCTTTAATTCAACATCCCTTGTAAATAAAACTTGCAATAAATTTAAACTGAATACCGTATTGATCTTACCCAATTATTTGTAATAACATGGTGAGTTATAACTTGTATTGATTTTACCTGCAAGGAATACCACCTTTAGAATAAACAGCTGCAAATGCAGAAGGGGCTCGTGACTGTTCACCAAACTGAAATAAAATGTGACACAAAACAGTAAATAACACATTATGATCACCTCCACTTTGTGATATCTAATCAATTTTAATTCTGCTCAGGTCAGAGGCAAACGAACACCCTGACTTTCAAGCCATTTCCAACTTTCCAGTGCATCAAACTACTCAGCACAACTGAGAAAATTTAACCAGTTTTCAGGACTGAACACACAAACACACTTTCTGTATTTTCTTTCACCCCTAACTTGTTACAGAAGGCGTGAGGATGCATGAAACCATACACATAATAAATAAAACATAGACAACTATAAATATCATAAATATAATAAGATAACATCTTTCCATCCCCTCCCTACTGTAACTGTCTAAAATGAAAAATAGATGGAGAACGTGTCAAGCGAGGGAAAGCATATTTGTTTTTAACCCTCAGCACATTTCCTACTTGTCCTCCAGCTACATGGTCTGGATGGTCAGAGAAACTGTCATTTCTCAAATGGCTTTATGTCTACATAAAAATAAAAGACTTTCATTGGACAGGGGTGAGAGAGCTGGAGACTGAGCGAGACTCTCACAAACATAGGACCAGGTATGGATGCTTTGATATGTAACTTCACTACTTTTAGTTTTGCTATATTAGTATCTTAAGAATAGGTTAATTCTGGACCTACTGGCAAAGGCAATTTGAGAGATGATCAATCATAACAGTTAAACAATCACAGCAAAAATAGTTTTAATTGATCAGAGACTTAAAGGTACCAAAAGTAAATATTTTACAATATGGTACTTTCATTACAATCAAAAGAAACAGTTGTTTAAATTACAAAGTAGAAACTTATTACAGATGAATAGCTACAAACATTTTTAATAATATGCAGTGACTCAGAAATATACAAGCTTAAGTTCAGAATTAGTCCTTTGCTCTCTAGTAAAACATGTTTTCAGTAAAAATAGATATGAAATTTCATTAAAATAAAATGCCATAATAAAAGATTCATTTGCAAAGCGCAATCCATAGTAGTAATTCTGTATAGTAATTCACAGCAATTATAATATTTCATTCATCAAGTTATAATTCCTGCTAAGAGAAATATGTTTTAAAGATTGTTTTCAAGTAGGAATCATATCAGATTAAAAAAAAATTAACTGAAAAGTGTTGCTTACATTGGGAAAAAAATTAAGACAAATTAGGGCTGCAAATTCCCTCAATTAAATATGGGGGGAAGGAAGCAACAGCAGGAAGGTATCAGAGAATTCTTCAGGGTTTCAATTTCCTGGCCACTGTACAGGTTCTAGAAAGAAGCAAAGGAAGACAGATCCTCAAACTATTTTTTGTTTTTCTTTTCTAAGTCAGATAATGTCCTGTGCCCTGCATACTTCCATTATATCCTTGCTTAAGTATTTGCTATGTTTTATCTGCTGTCAAAATCAGAGTACCAGCTATCCTCATAATCCCTTTCAAGGGCTGAAACCACTATCAGAGTAAAGTATGCAAGGTTGGGCCAAACACCTGGGGGTGTGGCACAAGTGTATTCATTTTTGGATAATTCTTTAATCTATACACAATTACATATTTTTATGTGCCTGAATTTGATGTTGGTTAAATTGCTGTGAAAGGCAAAAGGAGGCTAGTACTATAGTTAGGATTTCTGGTGGAGCAAATTTATAGACCACAGAAAAATGGTTAGAGACCTTTACGCAACTATGGGAGCATATAATTCATGTTGTAGCAATTAAGTACAAGTTTATTCCTTGGTATTAGAAAGTCAAATAACCATAACAAATAAAAAATAAAAAAATAAAGCAATTTAGTTTGCATTCTAAAAACTCATCCAAGAATGACAGAAGAGACCAAAACTGGTTACACCTTCTCACCTCCACTCCCATATGCTCTCCATTCTTCACCATAATTAGCATATGCCCTTCCTTCAGCACTACCTCAAAAGAGACTTAAGACATAATTCGAATGGTTCAATAGTGAGCCAACTGCATACTACTTAGAAAAACGAACTGAGTCAGAAATTTCTTTTGTACTTACTGGGTTAATCGTTTTAGGGTTAAGCTTATCACTTGGTCGAGGATGGATTTTTATGGCAGCATCTGGAGAACTGGCTAATGGTGAGGTTGAGGATTTGCTTCGTTGAACTGTAGTCCTAGGCTTTCTCTGTGGACTTGAGGATGTCCTTTGATCATCATTACCTAGAAAACAAAACAAAAAAACAAAAAATCAACAACAAAAGTGTGTGTGTGTGTGTGTGTGTGTGTGTGTGTGTGTGTGTATGTGCAAATTGCCTAATAGGCAAACTGCCCCACCACTGGGGGAAAAACTCTAAAGGTCACCCCACATTCCTGTGTATAACAGAATGTATCATTCATATAAAGTTCACCTTTTCCTTTAAAAAGCCATGCTGGGCCAAGACAGGTTTGGCTCAATGAATAGAGCATCGGCTTGGGGACTAAAGGGTCCCGGGTTCGATTCCGGTCAAGAGCATATACCTTGGTTGTGGGCATATCTCCAGTAGGGGGTGTGCAAGAGGCAGCTGATCGATGACTCTCTCTCATCGATGTTTCTCTCTATCTCTCTCCCTTCTTCTCTGTACAAAATCAATAAAATATATTTTAAAATAAAATAAAATAAAATAAAATAAAAAGCCATGCTGGGTACTTGTCACTCTGCTTCTCAGCTGTGTGTCTCCATGGCACTCTGATTTCTGCATTGCTTCCAGTCACTCCTGCAAGTTATAGGAAACTTGATGTCACAAATTTTTAAGAAGGGAAATTCACTAACAATATATAGACTAAAGCAGAATAGAGTACAAAATACAGTAAAAGACATAGAGAAAAGCTATGGTAAGGAGCAAAATGCCTGGAAAGACTGAGAAAAATGTTATATAAATTTCAATAATATCAGTAACAGCAAATTAAAAACAAGCTATAAAACAATGTATAAAAGTAAACATTTTTTTTCATTCAAATGATCAAAATACATTGTTAGATACTCAGTCACAATCTTCTAGTTATATGTAGAAAACATAGACTACATTTTTGAAAGGAGTGGTGGGCACATCCCCTATGGTCTCCATCTTCTCTGGCTTCTAAATTTCCCGAGTTCCAAATACCAACACCTGCACATCAAGTCCTACTTTGCCAATAACGTAACGAACTCTCCTTCTCAGCACATCACAAACTCCTTATCCTGAACATTACCAAACCAGAGGTTATCACACACATTTAATTATAAATCCCTTGTTAATTCAAGGTACCACCAGTAGTTTTCTGGTCCTTCAGGCAGAAAAATTTTGATGGTTGTTGCTTCTTTTTCTTTTGCTTCCTACACTCAGCCCTACAGATGTGTTCAACATGGTGTAATGAGGTAGAGTTCTGGGCTCAGATCTCAGTTTGCATCTCATTTCTACCGATTATGAGGTTTATGAATTCAGGAAGAGTATTTAACCTCCCTAAGCTTGGTTTCCTAATCTCCTAAAAGGGAGAATCAAATCAAGCTGATCAAGGCTGTTGTTGAATAAACATGATCAGATATCAAGTTGCTCACCAGTGAAGGGTGGTTCACCTCTCCCTCTTCCATATTTACTTTTCTGTTAACGAAAGAGGTCTAGTTCAGAGACTATGATTTCCTGATTCACCAAACGATTTCTAAATTTAAATCTCTACAAAGGATTCCTCCACCACACACACCCAGACTCATAGCCAACTGCCTGCTAGTATTTCTAGGTCCACCTTCAATCTCAAGATCTGTCCTATTTCTATTTGATTACTCTCCTTCCTTGCAGGACTTTCCAATTATGCTTAATTCATCTTATGCTCAACCACCCTTTTGAGTGCTTTTTCACTAAATAACATAAAGAGGGCGGTGTAAAGGAGTAATATTGGAAAAGAAAAATAATTGCTTTGTTTTATAAACGGTACAAGATCTTCATTCTTTTTTTAAAAATATATTTTATTTCAGAGAGGAAGGGAGAGAGGGATAGAAATATCAATGATGAGAATCATTGATTGGCTGCCTCCTAAACACCCCCCTACTGGGGATTGAGCCCAAAACCTGGACATATGCTAATGGGAATGGAATCAGTGACCTCTTGGTTCCTGGGTCTATGCTCAACCACTGAGCTACACCCAGCTGGGCAAAATCTTCATTCTTTAAAGATAATAGATTCTAGAATCCGCAAATCCACTTAACCAGAACACCTAAACTATGTCACAATATCAGACAACAAAGAATTCAGGCTCCACTGTAGGACCCTCACTTTCCCCTTAGGTTTCCTTAGCTGCTGCAAATGATGTACAGAGGCTGCAGGCAACTGTGTCAACCCAAGGGAAGCACAGCCCCTCCTCCCCCCATTGTTTAGGACAGCTAATAAATCCCTTCTCTTTCCCTACATGCACTTTCTTCGACACCCCGCTTTGAGACCACCGCACGAAACTGCTTGCTAAATTCTCAGGGGCAGGCGCCACCACATTATTTCCTATTTCCTAATGTTTATTAAGTTCCAAAAGTTAGGCACCCCAACTAAAGAAGATGCCATGTCCCATCTCTGAGGTTCCTTAAACCCCACGGTACAGCGAAAGAGGCCAGGATCCATCTTTCTCAACCCCCTTTGACCAAAAGTTAAATTAATGAGCCAATATTAAGGGTCTTAAATTCGCTTTCCAATTTCTTAATTTCTTAGCCTCCTCTCCTCCAATACCACACATCTATTAATACCTACGATCAATTCAGGGTCAGGGTGTTGTCAGAGTTGGAAAATGAAAATAAGGGTGTGTTGGGGGGCGGGGGAGAAAAAGATTTAAAAAAAAGGAGAGTGGGGTGAAGGGAAAGGCAGCATTCAATTAAGACAAACGAAGGCTATTAGGGGCTAAAGTCCGACCCGGAAGATTGCGGGCGCGCTCCCGGCTCCCAGCGTCACCCGGTCCTTCGCAACGCGGCGCGGCGGCCCTAGCAACAGGCCAGCGAGGAAGCGGTTCGGCCCGGAGAGACGGGCGGCGTCGCGGGATCCCCGCTCCCGGCTCCGGGGACTCGTTCCTACCGCGCGTCGCTCCCGCTGCGACCCGCACACCCGCCGCCGCCCCGGATGGGGCTTTGGACCGGCGCCCGCTCTGCCAACAGCCGCGGTTCCCGCGGCCCCCTGCCCGAGCGTGCGGAAATCGCGGCTTCCGGTGGCCTCCCGGTCCGGTGGCGCCGCGCACTGACGTCAGACGCACGTTACGCCCTCTCAGCCAATAGCAGGGAGGCCGCAGGCGCGCGGGCGGAAGAGGGTTGTCCTGGCAACTAGACGCCGGAAGTGAAAAGGGTAATTCCTGAGCACAGGCGCTCTCTGTCAGGTGACCGGAAAGGCGCCAGGTGGGGGGTGTTTGGGGGATCGGGGGCGGGACGGAGCGCAGGCACCCCGATCCCTGCATTGCAGCCTCTCTCCAGTCAGAGAATTTACCTCTCACACTTCTCTGGCAGCTCAAAATGGTCTGTGTCCTCCAGGTGTCTTGACCTAGGTCGTCTGAGAACCCAGGACCATGAACTCCAGCGTCCTCTGGAGAGAGAGCCTACGCCTCCCTGCCCAGCTGTGGGATTCCGTTTCGTCTTATCTTACTAATTAATATGCTATTGCATCAACTACACGATGCATCCATATTTTAATAATGAAAAGCGTGTGGGTTTGTACTGCAGATAATTTTAATAAAGTTGACGCTGCATTCCCCTTGTGATTCCACCAAAAGCAACTTGGGGAGTCATAGTAAAGAGCCCATGCTCTTCCTGACCTGTTCACTGCATTTCTTTCTAGAAGTCTTCTGCCTTAGCCAACTTTTTTTTTTTTTTTTTTTTTTTTTTTTTTTTTTTTTTTTTTTTCCCCCTCAGGTAACAGCTAATTATACAACTGGTGTTTTCTGAGCAGCCCGGGAGCTCCATCCTTGCTACCTGGATTTCTACCCCCAGAAGCACCTTCACTAGAATGCTTCTTGCACAATGTAGTGAGGACTCAAGAAATGATCTTCAATAAACGAAAGGATTCTTTATTTTCTTCAATGTTCTGCGAACCTTGCGACAAATCGATGAGAGAGAGACAGAGAGAGAGACAGAGAGAGAGAGACAGAGACAGAGGGAGAACATCAATGATGAGAGAATCATTGATTGGCTGCCTCCTGCAGGCCCCCCACTGATGGAGCCCTCAACCAGGAATGGAACAGTGACCTCCTGGTTCATAGGTTGACATTAAACCACTGAGCCACTTCTGCTGGGCTATTTTAACTTTTAAAATTCATTATAATGTATTACCTATCTTCCCCACCAGACAGATATTGTTTCCTTCACTTTTCTATCCCCAATATTTAGCACAATGCATGTTTAACTTAACAATGATTTTTTAAAAACCAAAAGAAAATAATAAATTATCCTATTTTTAGCTACTTTCACCTCATTATCCTCTTGTCCAGCTTCTTCAATATTTGTTCTATTTACTTTCTCTTCCTCACTCCTAGCATCACCCATATCAGCCTTAGCAGCACCTAGCTTATCGTCATTTGAAAAATAAACGGGTTCTTGGCATTGTGATTTTGCCTGGATAGCATGTGATACTGTTGGATACTTATTGGATATACTAGTTTGAGAAAGCTGTGAGACATCCAGTTGACTCTGATCACAGTTCCTTTGTTAATGGCTAACTTCAAGACTAAAGTGTAGCCTCTCAGGTGCTATATTAGCCCTCGATTAATGCACTGTCCCTGTCGTTTCCTTTAATAGCTAGCCCCTTGGTAAATAAAATTGTTCTATTTTTATATCACTACACATATAAAGTTATGAACTAGATAAATAAATCTAATGAAATTTGAAAAATCAGATTTTTTCTCATGCCTCTTTCACTTGTGAAAATTTCTTGATTATATCCAATTAGTCATCAAGCATTTGAAAGTAAATATCAGAGGTATTAATTACTTTAAAAAGAAAATCTGTTCCTTTTTTGTACAAATTACAGACTGATCATTCCCAATTATCAGGAAATGAGATGTAAGACATCTCTTTTTTTCTATGTAATTTTCAGTATACCCTGTCAGGAAATGCTAGACATATAATCACTGAGTGTCCAAATGGAAAAATTAAATTCTAATTTTGATTATTTTCCACATGGAAAAAATTAAGCAGTGATGGTGATTACTCTGGTAAAAGTAAATGAGATCAACATGAATGAGCATAGAGAGCAGTATTGTCCAATAGAAAAAATTGTGAGTCACACTGGAAAATTTTAATTTCATAGTAGGCACATTTTTTAAAAGTAAAAAGAAACAAGTAAGATGCAGTTTAATAATATACTTTTACTTAACTCAATATGTCTAAAATACCATCAATGTGCAATCATTAAAGAAATATCAATGTGATATTTTACTTTCTTGTTATTATGCTAAGTCCTCAAAATTTCATGTGTTCATTATGCAGCACATCTCAATTCAGACTAGCCACATTTCATGTCTTCAACCGGCATGTGTGGCTAGTGGCAACCACTAGAGTGTGGGAAAAGAGATGTCCTCAGATAGTTGTACAAACATACAACCACGTGAATCAATGCATTGCATTAAATAGTTACAGAGTACACACTATGTGTGGAACATGCCATTAGGTGCTGGGAGATCAATGCGAAATGTAAACCCAACTCTGTATTTTACCAAGATCTTCTATGTGAGGACACATGCATCACAGAGAAACACTTATTTA